CCCCCCCCCCCCCCCTCGCCGCGCCCGAAAGAAAAGCCGTTCCACCTACTGACCCATCCACAACATTACCCCCTTCCCTACGCTGTAACCGAAAGTATGTATGCTGGATGCATTTTGACAAGGAACAAAAGGCAGCAGCTGACCACAAAGTGCCCACGACAAGGCCCACATCTTCCAAGCTCTCGGACCACGTTTTGCCCCGTCCCCCGAATGTGTCAGAAAAAACACAAAAGTGAATCCCATCCACTGACACATCCACTGACCCGTCCACGACCTCCCTCCCTGCGTTGTGGCTTAAAAAACAAACTCTTTTGGGTATGAAACAGCTGGTCACAACGTGGCAAGACAAGGCCCGCATCTTCCAATCGCTCGGGAGGCATGCGTTCGTGGGGGCCTTCTACGGTGCCCTGTGGTGGAGGTTGGGGGTTGGACGGGTGTACGAGAGGGTGGGGGTGATATTCTTCTCGCTGGTGTTCGTCATGCTCGGGAACCAGCAGAATATTCCGAGAATCTTCCAGGACCGGCTGCTGTTCTACCGGGAGAAGGGGGCCGGGGTGTACGGGGCGGTGGAGTACTGGTGGTCCATCGTCATCGCCCAGGTGAGAAGAGAAAGGACCGCCTGCTGTTGTTGTTGCTGTTGTTTTCGGATCCAGGTCGTTGTTTTTGGTGGAAACGTAGATATTACGCGGGGCAGGAGGGAGGATAAGGGCATGCGTTGGGGAAGGACCCGAGGGGGTCGGCGACGACGTCTCGGACGTCGGGGTGTGGGGTGGCTCTGTCCCGTGGTGTCGCTCTTAGTGCTTGCTTGTTTTGCTCCTCAAACGCATCTGTGCGTGTTTGTTGTCAACTTTCAAAGTCCGTTTCGCACCCCGCAGTAGCCTCTGTCACGACGCATAACCTTGCTGGCGCACTCGCTGTATCTCACAACCTCGCTCCGCGCGGCGCGACACCAGATCCCGCTTGCGGTGCTGACGACGGCAACGTACGGGGGCTTCGTGTACTTCATGTCTGGGCTGAACCACAACGGTTGGGAACCATTCGGATACTTCTTGCTTGTCATCGTCCTCTGCAACCTGGTGGCCCTCTCCTTCTGCCAGGTGTGTACCCTTTTTTTGTCCAGCATTGCTGCTAGCGATTCTTGTTCTATTTGTGTGTTGCCTACGTGCTCTTTGCAGTTGCCGCATGCCTATCATCTTTCCAGATTGGTGTTGCATCTAATAATAGGGGAAATTGATTTTTTTTTTGCTGTTGGTGTGACTCGGTAGGTGCGCGTTCCTGTTGTTTGCCACCAAGTCTTTTGCAATGTTACCTATTTTGGGGCGAGCTTGTGAAAACGAGGGTTATTCGTTAGGCCGTCGAAGATTCGGGAAGAGGAAAAGCAGAAAGGAGGCCGCTACAGCGACTTTAACCGTTGCCACGATACAACTTCTCGTGGCATGTTCTCCAGTGTCGTTTGGGCCAGCTGCTGCGAGAAACGCTCTTCACTTTCTTTCTACGTGGTGTGGGTTTGGCAGGTTGGCGCTGTGATTTGCCTCTCAGCTTGCACCTCGAGAGTGCGGCCGGATGATGACGTCCGTTTGTTGCTGTTTTTCTCACGCCTGTTTCCCGGCGGTCCTCTACGGTTTCCCGGCATTCCTGGACGGTTTCCCGGCGTATCTACATGGTATGTATTCCAACTGCTGTCCGACGTGCCCTTCCCCTTTGGGCGCACAGATGCTGGCGGCCGCCACCCGCTTGCAGGATACGGCGGTGTCCCTGTTCCCGGTGTTTCTGTTTTTCTTCATTGCATTCGGCGGCATGATCGTCCGCCTACCGACCTTGCCCTCCTACCTGCACGCTTGGGCGCCCACGATCAGCTTCGTCCGCTGGGCGATGGAGGTGAGTTTTTTTTTTTCTTTCGGCCTACAGTTGTAGTAAGGGGCGAATGCCGAATGTGGGGGATGTATTATAGTAGCCGAGATTTTGGCCGTTTTTAGGGTGGAAAGGGTTCGTGAGAAGCCTGTGCTAGCCTGGGCGAAGGCACCAGCCGCAGCACCCACCTCGCAATTGAACCAACCTTCTCTCCGGTCTACTGTGTAGCGACCCAGCAGCCGCTGGTGCTTTCCGAAGAAACACACACACACACACACACACACGGTTAGCGCGGCCGGTGCCATCAATAAGAACACCCTCACATCATGCACACGTTCCCGGTGTTTTACTTCGCGCGAATGGTGCTTGGTCGTTTCTGTGGGATTGGCAGGTGTCCATTAGGCTGAACCCCGTGTGTCGCTCTGTGACCACGGACGAACCCTCCTTGCGTGGCACGGAATTCATGTACATCGAGGTACTGTACAGAAAAAGCCCAGACTTTGTTCTGAAACGACAACACATCAACAGCAACGCTCGTCCTCTGATGTGACGACCCCCCCCAGAAAGACATGCAAGACATGAGTTCGACCCCCCCCCC